TGCAAGGAAGCGGTGGTCTATTGCAGCTGTTAATGACAAAGCAGCGTCGCCATATACGATTTCAGAGACCAGCCAAGAGCAAAATGGGAAGGTCGTGTTGAGTGTTTTGTCTTGAGTGCCTAAAGGTCAAACAGCTGCTCACTCACGGCGCGGAGTCGCAAGCATAGACGCTGGTGCGGAAACCGATAGACATCTATAGCTTTTGAAATGGCAAGTTTCGAAGCGAGGAAACTCCTGCACTCGTTTTGCGATACACCTCCACATGTCTTCCGTTATATGGGGACAGAGGGCTCCAATGAGCCAAGCGTACCTGTGTGGCAAGCGCGGGATGCTGACCCTTAAAAAATATGGAGCAGAAATGCGGATAACTGTAGGAACGGCGAAATTCGACAGAGGCCAACTGTTGAGACTGTGAGCCAGATTATATAAAACTTGCTACTGCTGCCAAAGGTTCGTCTCCATTTCCATAACCTCTTGGCTCCTTCCTTTCGTTCCATCACGATGCGACATCGTACCTCCCAAGAGAACACTATGACATTATTAGTCATTTCTGATCCAGGATTGGCGCCCGCGTTTCTTAGCATCGTCAACGACTTCTTTGAACTGATTTGAACTGAGGAGTACTGCCGGAGTTAATGTGCTCTGTACTAGGGGAAGGCTGGCGCCCTCCGCTTCCGGGCCGCAAACCGGACGATCTCCGCCCTCCCCAAGCACAGTGGCTTCAATGTCGGTACAGCAACGCCAAAAGTCCACCAAGAACGACACCTCATCAACAACGGGTAGAAGTGATTGACGACTCACGGGTAAAGCATAACCCAAAATCAACCCAAAGGATCCACATCGGGCACGCTGCCTCGAGGCAGTAACAGGGATGCCTCAGACATTGAAGCAACGCCGTTTTATAGGGCACGCATCCATAATCGCTGAGTCAGGCTTACGTGTTTTACAAATGGAAAGGAATGAGAAATTTTACATGTTCAAAAATAAATATTGTCATATTTCAACTCGGCTTCCGTGGCGCAATTGGTTAGCGCGTTCGACTGTTATCTGGTAGCAATCGAGAGGTTGGCAGTTCAATCCTGCCCGGGAGCGTTCTTTTCCTTTTGGCCTCTTTATGACCTGTGCCTAAAAGTCACAATATTACCGCTTTTTTTTTTTTTTTTTTTTTTTGTATTCGAAGCAAGCTGTAGGTTCGCGAGGCGGCTAGCTGGGAAAAACTGAAGGACGGACATAATCTCACGCGGCCACGTCATGTGCGAAGGACCGGGGTATTCGTTATTAAAATCTTATGTCCTATGCCCTGATGCCTTTGAGTCCACCTTCTCCTTCCCACACATCCCCCTCCCAAACAACTTCTTCGATACCATCGTCACAAAGGGTAACCCACTTCAGTATTCGTGGCGGACTCTGTTTATATATATCTTTGTACCTTCGTTTCGACTCGTGTATGATGTGCGAAATGGTAGGTGGTGTACGCGATGCTGGCGGGAGAGGAATGGCAAATGTTTCGTAACCAAAATCAGAAATAGAGGAGGTATTTGAGAGCGTTGATGGTAATGGTAACTGTACACGGACTTTGTTTCTCTTGCGGTGTGGAAGAGGATGTGATGCTTGAGCCGCGGGGAATAGTGGGGCGCGTGGTGGATCAGCTACTAGTGAAGAGGATGAACGGTGTGTGCGCGAACTGGGTGGTGTTGTTGGCGTATAACGATTATGTCTGATAAAGGCCGTGGGTGTGGGTGTGGACACCAAGAAAGGATTGTCATCGACATTCAGTGTAGACTCAATACCGTCATCCTGTGGTACCCGGTGGAAAGTTGGTGAGTTTGACGGGTGATGTGCTTGTGAAGCGGAGCCAGCAATCGATTGGACCGCAACAGATTCTGCAGCTGCTCCATCATGTTCTTGACGAAGGTTGAATTCTGAGGAAGGGGCGGCCGGAAGTATCTCTGCGGGTCGCATGTAATTTTGCAGGGCTTCTGTAGTGGGAATAGCGTTCATCGACTCCTCTGTCTCTGCTGCTTCAGCACAACGACTTTCGACCGATGGTACATGATTACTCGGCAAGTCACCAATCTCCGCCCCAATTTCCGGTGGGCTCGCACTCGCGATCCGCCGCCTTTTAGCTCTCCTTCCAGGTTGCTGACGTCTTTCTGTTACCATATTCGGACGCACCTGCTTCTGTGCTTCTCGCCGACTAAGTGCTCCCTCTTGGGTTTGTGAAACATCTATTTCATCCACCTCTACTACCACTCCATCGAATTCATCACCCGATGTGGTCCTGTTCTTTGTTCCGAATAGTTCCTCGATAGCAGGTAATTCGTCACTATCACTATCTGCAATCGTTGTGTAAGCTGGACGCGATGGCGAATGGTGACGAGTTGTGGAGGCAACCACTGCTGAGCGTGAATCGTCCTCGCTTGCACGAATTTTTGAAGGTCCCACGCTCATAGCAATGAATTGGGATACTCTCGGTCTTAATCGCCTTTTGTGGGTCTCAGCATCATTGGCAGCGAATGCAGGCGGTACTCCACGATTTTCCTTGTTGCTGGCACCGTTTCGTATCGGCAGCGGCGAAGTGGAGTGCCGGAGCTCGGCTGACACATGACAATCACGATCCTCGTCATCGTCATCCTCATCCTCATCCTCAATGACCGCTCGTCGCCTGGTCCTTTCTGTGTTGCGGTCGCTACCTTTCTTGGAGACCGCAGAAGCATCATTATTTGCAAGCTTATTCGCGGTGGGCCACAAGGACGTGATTGTCGTCTGTTGCCGCACAGTGCCTGTGTTCATTCTTTTGGCGCGTACGAATGATTGTCTGCCTGTTGCACCATCACCGTGATCATCATTGTCGCTTTCTGAAGCGTCGTTCGCCTCGGAAGAATCTTCGATTGGGCTGCTTCCCTCAAAGCTCTGACTCTGGCTTTGACTTTCCTGACTTCGAACATGCTCTCTCAACTCCTCTACTTTCTCCAACTCGGCCAGGTACTCCGCTGCCTTGCCTCCAAATCCGTAGCGTCGACTGAGAATGACCAAGAATTGAAGTGCTATTTCTTGTTTTTCTAAAACTCCCGTCTTCCGGCTTAGGACAAGAAAGCTATGCAGTACTCGATGTGTCGCTTCAAAGGAGGTACCATGATTTGAGTAGAGGTGGCATTCGGCGCTGCGCTCCAAAACCCGAAGCTTGCAATCGTCGGTTCCAGTGAACTGTTCTAGGCATTCGCGGAAACAGTGGGCTCCTTCTTCCCATCTTTCCGATAGTACCAGAGATTCCCCTAGGCCAATTAAGATCTTTTCTAGGATGGCTCGTCCCACACCTATATCATACGCCAGCCGACGCAATTCTTCAAAAGTCTTGGTGGCAGCGGACGTGAGACAAAGTTCCAGCTCCAGATTACCCCGTTCGGTCAAGAGCTCAAGGATCCGTCGCTCATTTCCCTTGGATCCGCGCATTGTGTGAATTGTGGAGTTGATCTCGGTAATGCGATGTGACTTCCTAATGCTCTCTTTCAGCTCAGAAATCAGCTTTTTGGCAACCGAGGTGCCTTCCGCGTCATCCATTGTCTCGCACATATCTAGATGTGCTCTAGCAGAGTCGAGAGCATCCGCGTAATGGCAAAAGTGACGTAAACGGAGTGCCAGGTCATAGTGTGCGCGAGATTCGGACTCCAGGTTATTAAGTTTTTTGAGTATCTCAATTTCCTTCTTAGCACACTGCTCGAGCATCTCTATCAGCAAATAAAACTTTGAACACTGCGTCCCACGCTACCTACACTGATGGATTTCGCAGAATCGTCCAAACACTGATAGCAGACACCCAGGTTCATCCAAGCATTAGCCTCAGAGTCCATATCTCCTTCTTCGCGATATACAGCCATCGCCCTCGTAATATGCTCAATTGCTTTCGACATATGCTCAGCACCCTCCACCCCATGATTCGACTTTATTGACGGGGTGGTCTTGTAATGTCGATATTTATGCGTTAAAATGATGGCCATGTTGAGGTTGAGGTCGGCTTTCAAGTGTTTCGGTGGCGGAGCTTGGGTCTTAGGAAGGTCTATATAAAAACTCATTAGTGAGTAGTCGATCATAGACTGTGATGACTTATACGACGCACGTTTCAGCTGCGAAACAGCACCGGCGCATGCTTGTTCCGCGGCGGTTAAGTCCTCTTCACAATCAAAGCGACCCAGTACATCGCCATTACGAGCTTCGTACCGCGCAGTATAGGCGAGAGTAAGTTCGAAATAGGACTGAAATTGTTCTGACTACAAAATATTGATCAGTGCACGAGCATTTCATGAGCATGCTTAAATATCACTTACTGGATCGCCAAGCAGCTTTGCCGCCTTGACATACATCAGATTGTGGTCGATGGCGGCGTCATACTGTTCCAGCTCGCGATAGCTTTTGCTCAGCCGATACAATGCCCTAGACGAAGAATTATTAGTAATCGAAGATCCAAAAGAAGAGGCCCAAGGATATGGCTGCGGTACAAACAAACGCACCTTGTCTGCACCCGAGCTGCGTCCTTTCCGCCAAGCCGGTCAGCAAGACGAACCTCCCTGCGGGCGATACCAACAAGTTTTTCCCAGTCTTCGGCATCCGTGTACAGATTACCCAATTCATCAAACAGAGCCTCTAGCTTGCACCAGTTCTTGGATTCTTCAGCTAACTGAATCTGCAACAGCAGTGTTCGAGTCTTTTTCGGGAGGTTTATCTGCTCTGCGCGGGAAACCGGGATGATATGGGAGGAAATGGAATAGATGAACTTCTTGCCCATGAGTCGTCAAGGCGTGGCGCGAGGAGAGCCTGGGCAAGGCAAGAGAAGAAGTCAAGGACAACAGAAAGTTTCCATTAGGGAGGAAAACGTGGTGGTGATCCGCTTTCAACCTGCACGGTGAATTCACCGTGGCCAGATCTGCGAGAAACACGTAGACGCGTACTGGGTAGGGTTGGGATGGTTGGGACGAACCATGGTTGGCAAAAACAAAATACTACGCTCCCGGGCAGGATTGAACTGCCAACCTCTCGATTGCTACCAGATAACAGTCGAACGCGCTAACCAATTGCGCCACGGAAGCTGATCTGAAATGCAACCATAAAGAATAGTGATAGTCGCGTGACAGATTTCACTTCGCCAAGACTGTTACAATTCTGTGAATTGCGAAATAAGCATGGTTTTTATGATGTTTAATTGCAACTCAACATATTGACTGCACATATCAAATCCCGCCAGTCGCATCTTGAATGCAGTGGGTCAAGCTTGCACATATATATATCAACGGGTTAACATCAACCGACAACATTGCTACTGTGTCAAGAACCCCGCCACGGCCTTGGCCATTTCTCCCTCCTCATCCGTCGGAATTACAAATACTTTGACTCGGGTGTCGCTTGTTGTGATCTCGGTTTCTCCTGCGCAGGCCTGATTTTGTTTCTCATCCAACACAATTCCCAAACATCCCAGCGCTCTGCAAACGGTTTGTCGCACCTTTGCAGAGTTCTCACCAATCCCACCAGTAAACACGATCGCATCACACCCAGAAAGCGCCACATAGTACTGTCCAATGTACTTTTCGAGACGGTACTGAGGAAGGAGCAAGAAAACGACGTCAAACAGTCGCATTCACACATGTAGGCACAAAATAAATAAATAAACTTACGCAAAACATGTCGAAAGCGAGCCTCGCCCGTCGTCTCTTCTCCTGTTCCACACTGCCGTCATCAGATTCCATCATTTCTATTACTTTTCGTATGTCACTTTCTCCGCATACGCCGCGCAGGCCGCTTTGATGATTCAGAACATCTTCCGCTTTGGAAATCTTCGGGCCTTTTGGGGACGATTTGATTGCAGGTGTACTTCCCTCTACAGAGAATGTATCGCTCTGGAGGTGATACGGTAGCGCGGGATCAATATCTCCCGCCCGGGTACCCATCATTAATCCTTCCAACGGAGTAAAACCCATTGACGTATCAATGCTTTTTCCGTTCCGAATTGCGCACGCAGATGCTCCATTACCGAGATGCAGAGTGATCAATTTGAGCTCTTCAAACGGGCGGTTGAGCAGCTTTGCACAGCGTTTTCCCACATAATGGTGGCTCATGCCGTGAAAGCCGTACTTTCTCAATCCATTTTTAAGACATGCATCGTACGGAAGAGGATAGGTGTACACATGTTCCGGTAGCGTACGATGGAACGCCGTGTCAAATACAGCCACGTGCGTCGCATGTGAGAGCGACTCGAGCGCCGCACGGACGATGATGACGCTTGGGTGATTATGTAGTGGGGCAATGGCTGAAAGCTCATCAAGGTCCGAGAGTCGGGACGGAGTGATGATCACTGGATCACGGAACTTGGAGCCGCCGTGAACAACCCGATGTCCTGAGCACAAAATGCGCTTTCAGCTGTTTGTTGGTAATGGCAGACAGCCCACACACAACTACGCACCGACACCTTCTACTTTCTCGAGTACGCCGTGGGCCTTCAAAATCTCCAATGCTTTTCTGAACACGGTGTCATGATCAGTTTCACCTTCCACATGGTCTTCAAGCTTCGTCTCATCTCCTTCGCCGCCTATAATGGTGATACTGATAGGCGCCCGGTCACTTCCAAGCTTGGACACGGAACCTTTGCAAACAACTTTTAGTGGTGACTCTATCGTGTAAACCCGGAACTTTACAGTCGAGCTGTAACAGAGAGTTTAGCTTATGAAAGACGGAATTTAACAGCGAACACTATCGCACCTGCCAGAATTGATGATCAAGATACGAGGCATTGTAACGCTAAGTCTAGAGCATTTTCTGAAGCATCAAGCCAACGATGACACTTCGCTGTGGGTTCTGAGAGGTTCATGACATTACGCGCGTTGAGGTTCGCTACTTTAGCGATAAGCCTATATATTATGTGCTCTGATGTAATAAAATGCCGAATGCCGCGGACTTGGGTTCTCGTACGAAGATAGATCTCAGGTAGAAAACACCGCATGGCGAAGGCGCAAGGACGACAGCACAATATATAAATCGTACGTAGCTATGTAAGCTAGGTGGTTACGGACGCTGACTCCCATGTCCATGGGACTGCGATAGCACGCTCTTCTCAGTCCTGACGCCGGGAAGAGAAAATGTTGAGGCGATGGAAAATAACAAGCATTTTGAAGCGTGCAGTAAAGTTGGATGTCAAATGACTTTCCGTGGTATCTGTATACGTTGTTATGTAAGCATATGTACAATGGGATGTCGCGTTGACTATTTGGGCGAAGCTATGACTCTGTAACTTGGTTGACCATACTCGTCTACCCTACCGAGAGCAAACAAATCCATACAGTTAGTTCTCATCGTCACTGTTATCTCCATCATTATCACCATCCGCATCATCTCCATCACTCTCGTCGCCATCACTATCGTTTCCATTTCCAGTTTGTGGCGTGGTAGGAGTGGTAGGTTGAGGTGGAGGCGCCGGCGCAGGAGCCGGGGCATTTGTAGGGGCGGGAGCAGGAGCAGGAGCAGGCGCGGGAGCATCAGTAGGAGCTGGAGCCGGAGCAGGAGCAGGGGCCTCGGCGCCACCTCCAGTAGCGGCGTCAATAGTGATCGCATTCAGGATTTCCCACGGTTGATCATCGTCCCCAGTAGTAGCCACGATATTGAATGTGATTGGACCGATCAAACCAGCTGGAGCAGTCCAATCGAATGTGAGGCTGTTCCCCTTTCCATTAGGGTTGGCATGAGTGATGGTGCTCTCGGCAGCATCCTGCGTGAACCCGTTGCACGGGCCAGCGGACTGTGCCCTAAATCCGTTTGGTACCGAGAAGACGCCGACGTGTTGTTTGACGTTGTTTGGTGCCAATGGGGCGTCGGCCGCACGACCGGGCGTAGCGTACATAAGGAGGCCGAAAATTGGGCGGTTGTTACCATTTATGGTGAGTGTTAACTTTTGGCCGGGAGTCTGTAATTATTTAGCAAGATCAGTTTCAGGATTCACTACTGCATCTAGTGGGAACAGTGCACGTACATAAGTGTTGGCCGAAAGGGCGGCGGTGAAGAGGCCTGTGGATGGGGTTTTGTGCCCATCGGTAATTACGGCTTGGTTGATAGCACACTTGGGTGCTCCGTTGGGTAGGGCCTGACTTGGCTCGACGAGCAGTAAAGCCGCAGCTACCGCGATGATGGATGAAAATGTGAGGCGCATCGCGTGTAGATCGTTCCTCGATGCAGTACGAAAATTTTTGAATGTTGAAGCTGTGCAAATGCGACCTGTGGAGATAAGATGGATCCTGGCGGTTGGGCGGAGAGGACGTGGCGATGCCAGAGTTTTATAGCCGCCCCGCCAGCGTTCACGTTCATAATACACGACGTTACTCGCATCTACCCTGATAGTTGTTGCGCCAGCCTCTAGATCTCATCTGAACCTTGTGAGAGAACATTCCTTCTACTTATACTTGCATAGAACGTTCGAAAATACATTTTTTTCCCCATGGGATGACATGGTCCACAGGGCGTATTTGGCACTTGGGCAACGCGGTGGCAGTTTGGACACCGACAGCTACATGACTGTGCCACTTGCGCGACGCTTTAAAATTAATTACAGCGCTGTGCCAGGTATTACTTTATTGCTTTACGGGGTGAAAGACCAGGGCTGAGCAACTGCGAGTGGCGCGCTACGCACATTACCCCACATTCGTGATGACCTCACATATCGCCCTTACTAAGTACTAGCAGTTAATCACGATCTATTGGGGACCCCGGCCAACGCAACCAGTTCCTTGATGCATGCAAGCTGGCTTGAAATTAATTATTGGGTGACCATGTGGGGTTTTCCCACTGCATGTGTACGTGTTCAGAGCATCGCAATTAATAAATTGAACGTGGGCTAGGCGAGATCTGTACATGTATATTAGATATCTGCCCAAACGATCTGTCCTGCTGACCGATGCTCATCAGTATAGAAAAAAGCATGTGTGTGCGGTTAGTCAGCGTTCCTGGGCTCGGTCTTTGCGGTTGTTTGATGAGTGAGCTCGTGTGAGATTTGCGCAGCTCTACTTCAATCATTCTGGGATCCGTCGCTGTACCCGTATCAAATGCGGCTGGAGAATTGATGAGGTAATTAATGGGCATAAGCTCGACCCAATTGGACTGGCCTCAATTTCAACTGGCTACCATGAATTTGAACCCCTGAATTTGAAGTGACCGATAGGCACTGCACTGGTTGTCCCCCTCAGTCCCTTCCCACCTGGCAATCTCTGGGAGAACTCCTGATTCCATTGAATTGACGGTGTTGCCCATGAGCGACAGCAAGACCACAACCTGATCGGTGCAGACCACCGAATCTTATGCCAATCGTGGGCTCGAATAGAAAAACAAATCGGCTTTCGCACAGAACTGACTTGGGAGACAACGAGAGTCCTGGAGGCGTCGCGCTTTGCATCTCCGAGTATTTTCTCATGCCAGACGACTGTAGAAAATTGTGGAAAGAGGTTGGAGAAGTGGTCGTGGGTCAGTGTTCGACAACGTAGATTTTCCCACCAAGTGACTCAAGAGTCAGTCAATGTCACAACCCTGACCCCGACTGAGTTATGTAATCCGTCGTCGCGTCGGATTGAGTTTCCGCACGGCCTGAACTTGGAAATGCTGACTTGTCGGCGATGGATGTGCAGGTTGCAAAAAATCAAAATCACTCGTCGAACCGTTGCACAGCAGAGATATGCGTGTGAACGTAGCAACCGATGACACAGCTTTGTTTTCTGAGGTGTACGGCGCCGGTCGGTCTTTATAAAGCTTGCCCTTGTTCTTTACAACTTGACGTTCGACATCCTCGACATGAGCATCTATTGCACTGTCATACTCAAGGTGGTCAATGACAGGGTATAAGAGAGGACAACATGCCCAGCATCGAGATTTGATTCATTTGATGCAGCACCACAGGGCCTTGCGGTGGAGTGACTGGTATTGAAAGTGTCGGAGGTATTGATAGCGTTAGAGATATTGGTGACTGAGACTGCTGATACTGCTGGGACTGCTGGGATAACGCTGCTATTTTCCCCCGCGGGTGTCCATGCGAGCAAGCAAAACTTCCCGTACATGGACA